GACTAAGCTAGCCGAGCTGGTACTGGTTTGGTCCGGTTCAAAGCCGGAGCGGGCTCTGTCGATTCTTCGAGACTGCGTCGCTTTGCTGGAGAAGGAGGTTGAGTTTTCAGCTCCGCCTTTTCCAGCCGTTCCTTCCCGTCCGACTACGCCTGGTGAGTTCCCTCTTGACATCTGTAGGTTGTGAATTGACTACAGTCCCCAGTCGAGCTGGGGAGAGACCGTAGGTTGTCTTGGATGGTGTCCGAGAACTGTTTCGTTGAAGTCTCTGCTTCCCTAACAGTGAGGCGTGCAGTGGCGTGGTCAGACTTCGTGCTGACGCCGATCTCACACACTAAGCGTGAATGGAGACGGAATCTTGTGCTTTGAACCTGAAATATATTACACCAACACTCGAAAGGTTTTTCGGCCTGTCGCAATATTGTCTACCGCCCGCTAGGGGGGAAAACTGCGCTCCCACACACGTTACGTTACTGTGTGCTTTTCCAACACTCTCATTCGAGTTGATGAAGACGCAACGACTCACACAACCTCACGCGCACACCTCTGCGGACCGGCAAGACATAGATTCACAGATAACATGTAGGACCACCCTTTCATCCGACAATCACAGTCGAACGACATTGTCTACAGGTACAAGAGGAAGGCACACTCTCTATGTGGTGCCTGTTTCTTGTTTATGTGTGCTTGCGTTGCCCCTGCGAACCCACAGCAATGAAAAACCTTGGCTGAGATGGCTGAGAGCCTTACGCTCTCTTTGGACAAAGTACGGTGACCGGTGTGTCAGAAAACGGTCACAGCCGACCCGAGAAGCCCAGTTGCCGGGCGACTCGCTTGAGCAACCGCAAACCACAAACAGTATTCGGCGATTTCGTCCCATCAGGGTAAGGCCTCAGGGTAAAGCTCTCGTGACCACACCTGGGGTACCGTTTGCACCCAACCCCTGTCGTTCGCCAAAAAAAAAAAGTCATACCTCGAGATTGAATCCTGTCTTAACCAAAAACGTAACCGTAGTCGGTAGCCCAACAAACTAGAGCTTGTTGAACGTAACCAATCAACGATCCCAAAAACAGGTGCCGTGCCTACGTCACCCAAACGCTGAAAAAACACAACTCCACTTGTCAACTTTGTCGACAACACCAAAGCGTACAAGGTGCACTGCACACAATACACACAGCCACCGGACAGCCAGCAAAATATCATGTGCACTACCGTGGCGGATCAGGCGAACTAGAATAGCCCATCAGCTGGAGCAGCGCATGCATATGTATGCATTCACAGCAGCACCAAAGTCGTAACATGTGGGGATGATGAGAGCGGAGTAAAAATAGACCGAAAACAAAAATGGTGCCATCAGAGGCAGCAGGCGCTGTTTCTATCCGTCCTGCCGCCACCCACAAGCTACCACAGGCGATCCGGAGCATATGCGCCGCTTGCCCTGCGCACGCTGATTCTCGGAAGCTATCAACTTTGCTCGTCCTCGATGAATTGGTCCCAATATGTGTGAGAGCATGTTTTCGGGAAAGCTTGAAGTTGGAGCCTGCGGCCAGTTCAGTTGTCGAGCCGAATCAGCCCAATCTTTTGCGTCCACCAAAACACGCTCACGCGCATATCGGGACCAATTCATCGAGGACGAGAAAAGTTGATAGCTTCCGAGAATCGGTGCAAGCAGGGCTAGCAGCGCATGTGCTGAGGGTCGCCGTTGCAGCTTGTGGGTGGCGGGAGACGGGTGTAGCAAAGCTCGAGTATGTGTGAATTTTCGGCATCCTGTTGTTCGGACTTTCAAGACGTGTCATCAGGCGCCTAAGTTTTCAAGCAAAGCAAAAGCCAACATCGATTCGTCTCAGCGGTCATTTCAGTCTCTGAGCGTGGACTTCGCACTCTAGCTCCAAGGAAGGGTAGTCCTAGTTCTCAAGAGCCCTCGTGCGAATGTAGGTATGTCCAATCGTGTGTGCGCTCCAACATCGCGCCGTGAACGATCGAACTCTTGAAAACAATCAACCTCTATATTTTTCGGCCAAGAGTTTGTGCGTCCGCCTCTCCCCGTTTTGATCATGATACACACTAAACGGTCGCAAGTGCCCTCCACGGCAACGACTTGGATCGGGGCGCGTTTGTTTGCGTTGTGGGCGCCGGAAGCAGAGTTTATATCAACAAGAACATATTTGTGAGGGTAGACCTTGTCCGCCCACCATTCCGTCGAAAATCGAAAATCGAAAATGTCACTGCTTGGACAGAGCTCCAGTGTTCCGCCGCCGGTTTTTCGATGTGGGGGTAAGTGTTACGAATATTCTCCGATATGGAAAACTCAAAAGCGAGCTCAAACAGACTCGAAATCGACAATCGAAAATGCCAACCGGAACATCAAGCTGGCTGCCACACCCTCACAGAATCGTACATGCCTTCCATTTCGATACTCGTCTAGCCATCTACAGACTGCTTGGTGATGAAAGCAAGAGCTTGACAGACAGGCTAACATCCGTCAGAGCACGATATACTTTCTTTGAGCGAGGTCTGCTCTATGTTGAGAGAGAGAGAGAGTCATCGCCGTGAAATTCCTCCTTGGTAAACGGAGTTCAACGGCAGCTATTTTGGCTTTCCTACATCAGCACAGAACATTCAATCGCACATTGCTCGCTGAGTTCGCAGCGTATCGATGCGAGACAAAGGCCCCCCAACCCGCCTGATCATCGCCGTTGTTCGGAGCTATCGTTCGCTGTCTTGGATGCCGTGTGGCTCTCATGGTCATGGGTTGAATCATCGCAACTGGCATGTACGACCTTGTTCGCCTCTTCCTGGTTGGTTTTTGATTTCGATTCCCCGCTTGCGCTTTGTAGAGCCAACCCGAAATCGAAAATCGGAATCTAATTTCGATTTCGATTTTCGATTCAACATATATTTGACAAGGTCCACCCTGAGTTCAAGGGAAAAAATCTGAGCAACAGGCAAAACCATTCCAAAAACCATCTGTTCACGGCCTTCCACAGGGCGGAAAGAAAATCTGCTCCTGTTGATTCATAGTATGTTGTATAGATGAGTGCCATCGAGTAAACCAAAACAAATCACAATTGAGGTGGTGGCTACGCTGTTTTTTGTTTTGCCGTTAACGGCGTAATCTTGAGGTCTAACCTGTACAGCAGCGTTTAGTCAGCCGCTCTGCCGAAAAGCGAAAAAAACATACGTGTGCAGATACGCACCTCTTCACTATCGGCCGCCTCCTACCCTCGTGTTTCCGCTACGTGCTTGTGCCCGTCTCTGGCACACCCACGAGATTGTTTGTGTTCTGCATGGACGCATCAAATCCCACGGGGTAGCTATCGATGGGCACGCCCGTCAACACAGTAGCAATCGTTCCTAAGAGGGGCATCCTTATGAGCACAACAGTGTTGTTTTCCGGCCTTCGGGGGCGTTGCAGGTTTTTGGATTCACTCCTTGGGTGGCAAAAACGACAAGACGGAACCGGACTAAACTTTTAGAGAACACACTGTCATATTCAACTCAATAGCTTTCTCATAATGTCGACATGATACAGTAGTCCTTCAGAAGTCTTGGCCTGGATCTGAGGGAAGAATAATTTCCTTCAACCGTTGAACGTATCGCTTTCGGCAAAGCTAGGCCAGGATCACGTTTTGGCCTCAAGTTCCCATTTGCCAAATATGGTGTAACGATTCAAGTGCGGTGACCCTACCAGATCCCGTACTGTGTCCATCTCATCCTGTTGTCGCTGACGAATCAGGTAGTTCGGTCCAGCAGAGCGCCTTGCAGTCCAAGTCCACAAGTTCGTGTTAATTTTCAACAGCTAATAGTGTTTTTTCATACACAGTTTTCGCCTCAGCAAAATGATGACGCCGATTTTGTTGTCTGTTTGGGAACCCTCAACGAAAAATTGACTGTTGATCCTGCTGTATGGAACGACATAGCCACACAATGATGCCTTCTGATCGTTCTAGTTGCTCGTTGGTGTATTTTGTAGGTTGTGGGCACTATGCCATGTTCTCTCCTGGTTGTGTGTGGCCTTGAAACGATCCTAGCAGTCTTTTCACTGGCTGAAAGCTATTTCATGTACGCGTGTTGTGTTGCGCAGGACACAAGCGCAACTCGTGCTTGAACGCCCTTGTCGTTGCTCTCGATGAGACGTGCGATGGGAAGAGGTGGTACACGTCAACAAAGGAGCTGCAGCTGGCGTCCATAGAGTTCTGCATCGCGTGCAGAAAGCATCAAACACTGCACTTGATAGTCGACACAGGAATCCCACGAAGACTGCTGGCCGCTGCAGATACCGCACCCTCGCACCCGAAACGGCTATTCCGGACGCGGGTGCCAAGGCTAAGAGCGCGCCGCGTGTCGTGGCACATGCCGACAGCGGCGGAATTGAGGAAACCTATCTTCGCAATGACGGACGTGAGCTGCCTGGAGTTTGGCGATGCCTTTGAAGGAGGCCTTGAGGCTGTGTCGTGGCCTCAAAGGCTGAAAACGATCGAGTTTGACGCAACTTCAGCATTCAACAAGCCTATCGACCTGGTGCAATGGCCAGCATCTCTTCAGAGGCTTGCTTTCGGGGGGATGTTTATCCAACCAATCGAAGGTGCCAAGTTCCCGTCATCGCTGCAGGAGCTCACTTTCTTTGCCGGGTTCAACCAACCGATTGCAGGAGTGATTCTGCCGAGTTCACTGCAAAATCTTCACCTGGGGTTGAACTTCGACCATCCCATAGAAGACGTCGCGTGGCCGCAGTCCCTGCGTCAGCTCACTTTTGGCGAAGACTTCACCCATCCGATCGAACTGGCCAAGTTTCCGGCATCTCTAAAGCATCTCACGTTCGAAGCCTTTTTGAACTTCGACCAACCAATAAGGCAAGTGGCGTGGCCGACGTCACTGGAGAAGCTTGCGTTCGGAAGGTGTTTCGACCAGCCGATTGAAGGCGTTTTGTGGCCAGATTCGCTTCTGAGCCTCTCTTTCGGCACTTGCTTTAACCAGTCAATTGACAATGTGAGGTGGCCCGCGTCGTTGCAAGAGCTGACAATTGGATTTTGCCTTGGAGTGGGGTGCGGTCGGATGATCATGCGATCGGAGTTCAACCAGCGTATCGGCAGGAGTGCTTGGCCTCCATCGCTTCGGCGACTCACTCTAGGCCACAAGTTCAGGCAGTCTCTGCAAGGACTCGGCACATGGATGCCCAACCTTGAATCGCTACGTCTTCTAGAGTGGTACGTTGACTTACAAAACGACAGCCTCCTCCGCCGAATCGAATGGCCAAAGGGCCTTCTTCAGCTGACCGTGTTTAAGGAGTCGAGCTTGGAAGATGTCGGAATTCCTGCACCTGTAGAGGTGTTGCACCGTTACAACGAGTCCCTGCGGTGACTATATGCGAGACTTGGCACTTAGATTGTGCTGAGAGTGGCATCACTTTCTGCAGTCACAATGCTTACGAAGATTTTGCCATTTTCTGGAGTCGAAGATTTGGTCACTGAGAGCAGCGGCACTTTCTGCAGTCGAAGTTTTTGTCGTTCTTTCGAGCTGATCTTGCGATACATGGGAAATTGAGATTGGAATACATGTCGTTGCCAGCTAAAGTGCTTGAAACATGGCGAACTACTTCCTGGTGAATGTGGCCATCGTGGATGTTCCTTTTGCGGGTTTGATGATTGTTCTGTTTGAGGTTTCTTTTCGCTGGTGTATGTAAATTGTGTGCGCACCTGCTGCTTCGTTGCTGCACAATACCCGGTGTCCACTTTGATTTGGTGTTGTACATCAGACAGATTCGGCATCTGCGGTATCCGTTAACGACAGCACTGCGGATTAGCCACTTCGAGGGGTTTGGCCAGCAACGCTTTGAAAAACATTCCAGAATCGTTGAAGGTATTCGGCGGGAGTGTCAATCTTTTGTTGTATCTTGTCGTACTAAACTCTAGCAAGTAATTCCTCTTCCCTCCCGCTTCCAGGCGAAGAGAGGAGTTCACATCGGTATAATGAGCATCAAGATATTCTTTCCGACGCCCATGAGAGTTTTTAGGATGGCTGGAGTTGCCCTCGGGTATATTTCGCTGATGGTGGATGGTTCCCTATAGTCGTCAACGAAGCAAAGACCTCCGACGTGTCGTTTAGGCCCCCTCTTCTGGTTGGTTTTCACGAGGAACCAGCTGCACATGCAACGGTGACAACCGTCACCAACAGAATGATGCCAAACGAAACAAGCGGCGTGCAGCTGGATGGGTGGAATTATTACCCCACGTTCGACCTCTGACGATACTTCTCGACGAAAAATGTGATTGGATTCCGTTGTTCGGCATAACTTCATTCCGAACTATGTAGCGACGCCTCCTGATTCTCACTGTGGTTCGAGATCAGTATTTGAGACCCGGTCGGGCAAGGGATGGGCTATGCGAATGAAAATGAGAGGGACAGAAAAAGTGAATTTAGGTCGATACAGACTGAGCTTGGGAATTCTTGCACGTAACAGATATCTGGTGTATTTTTTATTATTATTATTTTTTTGTCTTCACTTCAAATCAGCGCTCACAGCACTACTAGTGCCGTTTACTCCAACCCGTAGTCTCACAGAAGAGCCCCTCTCTACCCTCCCCTCCTGAGGTACTTTGCCTTCGATTTTTAATGCGAGAAGAGTTCAGCACTCTCTTCCCTCTGTGTAAACACGAACTAGCGCCATCCACTAGGCCAGGAACGGAAGCGAGAGAAAAACTCACTTTGCAAGAAAAGCTCGCTTACGCCGGGATTCGAACCCCTGACCTGGCCTCTAGAAGGTTTCGAGGTTACCAACTAGACCACCGGGGCGACCGGTTGGTGTATTGTGAATAACCGAGACTTGCGTCGCGTCCCGACGACGACGAGTCAAGGCTAGCCTGCGTATTCAGAAATCTTCCACATTGCTTGTGCGTCCCCCAAACCAGACACTAGCAAACACCCAACACTAACACACACTTACAAACGGTCGTATGCTCCTCCAGAAAACTGTTGGTCTATCTCCTTACACAATGGCCCACCTTTCTCGCCTTGCGAATCGGGCCCCGCCGCCCACTGGGTGCGGAGGGGCCCATTATGCCCTAGTATAATTTCCCGGTAATTTCTGATATATTCCTGATCAAGACGCAAACACTGGTTCATCTGCAGTGCTAACGTTGACGTGTACGCCAGATACCGAAGCTGATATTCTACCAAGTTTGAGTACGTCTCGGTCGTATGATTAACATCCGATACTGCATTGACAACCGGCAGGTGCCAAACAATCGACGTAACTCGCCCGGCAGAAACCACTATCCGCATACCTGCAACTTACACCGAACAGAAAGTCGTTTTCGTGTCACCAACCACCGCGACAAGGAGCCGTGATGTCACCAACATATGGTGTACTTCAAGTAGTGGCCAACGTACCACTCCAACTTTCCCAAGAACTTCCTTACCACAGTTTCGCTCAAAATCACCTTCTTAGATCTGCCTTGCCTGGGACGACGCTTGCTCCTGTCAGCACAATCAATTCACCGGTTGTGGACGATAGACCTTTACAGCTGAAGGAATTACGACCCCATAAGCTCGAATGCTTTAACACGGTCAGCTGGCGAAGGCCAATTGGCCATTCGATTCCGCGGAGAAGGCTATCGTTTTGTGAATTAGCCTCCAAGTCCTCCGTGTACTTCCAGTCAAGAAGGCCAAGCGCTTCAAGGTTGGGCATCCAACTTCCCAGCCCTTGCAGCGACTTCCTGAACGTTCCGCCGCCTAGTGTGAGTCCCCGCAGCGATGCAGGCTAAACGCTGCTGCCGATGCGCTGGTTGAAGGCCGACCACATCATCATCCGATCGCCGTCTGAACCGACGCACGATCCAAATAAAACCTCTTGCAATGAGGCCGGCAATCTCACGTTATCAACTGGCTGGTTGAAATTTACTCCGAAAACGAGCCTCAGAAGTGAATCTGGCATAAACACGCCCTGAATTGGCTGGTTGAAATTCCATCCAAAACAAATTTCGCGCAGGGATGCTGGAAACTCGACGACGCGTTCGATCGTTTGGTTGAAGGAATCGCTGAAAGCAAGCTTCTGCAGAGATGCTGGCCATTATACCAGGTCGATAGGTTGGTCGGACAGTGAATTCCAGTGAAACTCAACCGTTGTTAGTTGCCTCGGCCATGCCACAACATCAACGCTGCCCTGAAAGGCATCACCCAACACCAGGCATTCAACGTCCGTCATTGCAAAGATGGGGTTTCTCAAACCCGCTGTGGTCGGCATGTTCCACGTCACGCGGCGCGCTCTTAGCCGTGGCACGCGCGTCCAACCCAGCCGCTGGGGGTGCAGAGGTGGGGCATCTGCAGCGGCAAGCAGCCTGCGTGGGATTATTGAGTCGATTTTCAAGTGCAGTGTCTGGTAGTTTCTACACGCAATGCACAACTCCAAGGACGTCAGCTGCAGCTCCTTGGTCGACGTATACCAACGTTTCTCGTCGCACGTCTTGTTCAAAGCCACGATGAGGGCGTTTAAGCGTGAGTTGCTGGTGGGTCCTGCAGAAGGAAAACACGGTGTACGGCCGAATTCATAAGCTGCATGCGGGGCCGACATCATTCACAGCCGGGGAGGACATGGCAGGGCGTGGGCACACTCGCATGCACGTGTTTTTTGGTTGGTTGGCGGCGTGTTTGATGTTGCACGCAAGAGCGATGCACGTGGAACTCTACTGTTGCGCTGGGGTACGAGTCAGCTCTTCGCATACCCCCGTGATACTCGCCCCAAGGTTAATTGAGTGAAGTACGACAAATCCTGGAGGGTGGTGAGGAGCGTTCCAGATTGATCGAGAGTGAAGTTCGACAATCCTGCAGGGTGGCGAGGAGCGTTCCAGATCGGGCGCAGGCCTATGTCGGCAACCGCAGGTTGACCAAGGGCGCACAAGAAAAAAAAATCCCTACACCTAACCCCCCTCCAGAGGCGCTGAGGGGGGGGTATACTACAGTAAAATCAAGTAAAAAAAATGTCTAACAAAAACTTTTTTTGGCCTTTGCTCGCAATTACAACACCAGCTTTTTATTTCATTTCGACCTCTTGCACGGGTGAGGTGTCGTTTTCACTTTTTTTCTGTGTGCTACAGATACTGTTGTACATGCTGTACAACTGCTGTAGTCTAGTCGAGCAGCTGCACGTTGTCGTTTTTAAAGAAATTCGAAAATGGAGTTACATACCGTGCAACAAGAACTCGGCTGCTAAGAAGCATTGCATTGGACATTGGAGCGATCGATGATCCCACGATGCTCTTGTTGGGAGTGCGACAACTCTCCATGTTTGTCCTCACGGGCTTCGACTTTATCATGGGGTCGCGCGCGGTGTTACATACTTCGAAGCCATTTTTTTTTCGGGTTGTCGCGAGCTCGGCAACGCTGCGGTTTTAAATTTTGCTGTATTGCTCTTGGCATATGCCGGCGGTTTACAGCCGGCGGTGGCGAAACGTTGGGTGCGAGAAAATGGGCGTGAGACTCAGGACTATGCTGTCCCATGTCCGAAAACCAGCGGCGAAATGGACAAGGCGACAAGGCGAGTGAAGCGCGAAGCGCGAAGCGGCACACAGGTTGGGCCTTTGCCGATGCACTGTGAACCGCGGCCAATGAAATTGTCTGAAAAACAAAAAATTCCATTCAATTCTTCTGGCCAAAGTTGAGCCGCATGCGGCGCTGGTGTGGACGTGTGTACATCAGAGAGAGCGGGGTTGGGCAGGGAGTACATCGTGCAGGCAGCGATAGAGTACTGCTGTTACAAAACGATCTTGTGTGATGGGTTGTGGTGTACGTAGCTGCGTGCCTGGTGCTATGTAGAAAATCACCTCCCACCTCTTTGCGCTTGGTTGGGTGGATTTGAGACGGCAATGGACCGCTGCTTGGTTGCACTGCACACTGCATTTCGTCGCCCCAACATGCCGTGCGCGTCGCTTGGACTCAGTGCCGCATCTTGAAGCTTGCACACAGACAGATAGTTCCTCCATCCGCGGTGTGTGTCTCGCTGTGTGTTTTTTATTATGAGCATCGACCACGGCCAACAGGCTGACCAATGTCGCTGGGTGCTGTGAGTGTGTGCAAAAGCGAAGCGCGTGTTGGGTCGCCGAAGATTTGAACCGATAAATACTATACAACTCCGGAGTCATACTACAGAGTAAATTGTGTCCAATAATCCAATCCCAAGAATAACCGCTCGATTTCAGCAGCAGCAGCAGTATTCTGTAGCGGTTGTAGAACCGCTAAACCGGGGTGCAGCCGTGTCACGAGATTCATAACCGCTATCCATGGCATCCGGGACCACGATTGATGGCTGTGCCTTTTGTGTTGACGCAGCATGGAGACGGATTTTCCCTACCCAACCCCGCTCTCTTTGCAGTATTACTCTAACGTTACCGTAGTCAATAGAACGGAAGAATTTCATGGTAGTATATCTGCGCCTGGATCGCCGGCGTTATGACACCCCGATCTAATTCACTCTAAACGTTTAAGAGGAAACTCCATGCACACCGCAACGTATAACAGGAGCGAAGGGACACGGGAAAGAGGTGAAACAAAATTGTGGTCGGCGCAAGTCGGCGACTGACTACGGAAGGAGGGTGCCATAGATGCTCTCCTCTGTCTCCGACATGCCAGCACGGTGATGGTTGCTTGCAGAGCAACAAGTGCCCCGGAACGAACCGGCGTCTGGGTCATGACACCTCGAGATCCCAGCGCTGCGGTTGGTTATGTAGACATGTAGAGCGTTTCAGCGCATTTTGCGCCCCGGAATCGTTCGTTCGATACGCAACCGAGCACCCTGAACCATTCGATACAACAGCGGGTCATTGCACGTGCCAGTTCGGAACTCTAACGAATAATGTGTGCAGGGTTTAGCAGCTCATTTTGCACATCCCCACGCGATGACTCTGATACATGGAAAAGCCATGCCATGGCTCACACCCTTGCGCTTATATAGCGGTGACAAAAATATTATACGAACGCACAAACGCACAATGTAGTCTGCATGCAAATCCGACGGGGTGATTGTCTACGCTCATCTTTGTGCTACATATGCGTATGCTTAATCTTTTTACATGTTAAATTGGGCGTGGCTCTTACTATGTGGTTGGGCCGGTCTGCAGCGTACTGGTGAGCTGCTGCTGCCGCTGCCTGATGTGGTTCGGGCGGTGCAGGACGCCGAACCCGACCGTGCAGCATGTGGGTGTGTATCCTCCCAGTCAATGCTCACCTTGCTTGTTGTCTTGTACAATCGCCAGGATATTCGCTCACTCACTTGAGTGGTGGTAGGAAACTGATGTGAGAGGTAACGAGGGGATGGCGGTAGATGGGGGCCAGATGGGGGCGGATGGATGGGCCAACATTCAAGTTCAAGTCAGGCTATTCGATTTAAGAGCAACACATTGAAGTGTTGAAAGTAACCTGATCGAGATATTTTTCTCAAAAATTCTTGGAATAACAGCCCCAAAAAATAGTCCAGCGACCCCTTCGGCCTATCTATGTACATGCCCGCACGTTGGTTGGTGGTGCGGAGGTCGGCCCGCAGAGTAGAGCTACAGACACTTGAAATTCAGTTCAGGACGTGGCGTCTTGTTTTTAGAAAGTATACATACCCTACTCGTCTGACTTTTGTGTGTTTGCGGGTGTGGCGTGTAGCCCCTCTCAACGCGACATGCCTGTTTGATGGCACAATGTACCTACAGCAGAAGACGTTCCTTCCTGTTCGCGCGGAATAGTCATTCCTAGAAAGGGGGGATGGTTTAAAACCAGGGGAAATCCCAGGACTCTACATCTACATGCATATGTATGTCAAATCTGTGCAGCGGGCAGGGAAATCAGTCTGCACTATGTTTTGCACGAGATCACCGAGGAGATGCATATGTGTGCAACAACATCACGTACAGTGTAGCAGGTTGTGTGAGTCAGATTATCTCGAGTGCATGGCACCGGTTGGCGGGGAAACAGAAACGGCCGGGGAAGTGGCACCCGCGTGCGCAAAGAAAACCAAGAACATCTTGAAATAATTCGATTTCCGCACCTGGGTCGGTGAGATCGCACCCGGTGCGATTTCGTCGACCCTCAAATCCAAGATGGAGCTCTTTTTCTCTTTCTGAGCTGCTGGAAAAGCACATGCACAACACGTGGGTAACTTTTATCCATGTAGACGATGTCAGCTGAGCGCCACTCCATTCTGTACGTAATGTGTGTAGACTTTGCTACATACAGTCGTATGTTGTTCACGCGTGATGTCAGTTGTTTTCACTTGTTTTATGTGGAAGTTGTCAACCGTCCCCTCAACCAAGCGGCAACCACATACATACATACAGGCCGAACATACAGGCGGAACATACCCCACATTACATAGCGATTATGATGTACTGCAGCATACGAGCTGGTATTTTGTACTCGTTAGAGCAAGAGACCGAAACGAAAGCGGGAGGCCACCTGTCTGTCTGTGTGTTCCGAACCCCAGATGGAAACCACGCCTTATCACGACATTGCCAAACTCGCATTCAACGCTGATCCTCAAGCGTTTCGACCAATTCTGTTCCAAAAGCCCACTGCCTTAAAAAAAATGCGACGATAAAACCAAATCTTGTTGGCCTCGTGGCCTCCTCCTCCTCTTGGTGACCCCGGCTGACCTTCACACAAACACATCATGTACATACGGCAGTGAGTGGAGCAGTCTCGGGTAAGGAACACCCCATCCATCTACTTTTTATATTGTTTTGGCTTAAGACTCAAGACCGTATTTGCAAGCAGACGACCGAAGAGTGAGAAAGCACCACTTTCGTGTACAGCTGGGCTACTGCCGGTATTCTCCCAGCGCCATGAGAAACGGTTGTTGGGTGTTCTCTTTCTGTTTACCATAACCTCAATTCACTCGTTGACACTCTTGCAAAAAGTATATACAAACATATTCACCACCCAACCCTCGACCCCCCT